ATGTGAAATCAAGTTTACTGACAATTTTCTCATTCTTGGAAGAAAGAACAAGATTCAATTGATCGTCTTTTTCTTATTTGGATACCTTGAGCGTATCTTTATTCGATTAATTTTAGAAGGAATGCTAGTTAAGAGAAGTTATCTTTACTCGACCACATTTCAAAGCGTTGGTGGTGATTTTTAAAAACCTATCCGTCTTATTGAATCATGCTTGTTTGAACGACGTAAGCCCAGCATTTTTTTAACTTGGGGCGTCGTCGCGCTCATTAAACGATAGTTTGCACCGTCAGTTCCTGACTTTTACAAGTTTTCTATTACAGCAGCTACTCTTTTTTCAAGCTATGTTCTGTTCTGTTGTCATCGCGAAGTTTACAAAAATCGCGATCACTTTGGGCTTTCTTTTTATTTTCGTCGAATTCTCTTTTCTCTGTATCTCGTTGATTTTTCTTTTGGAAACTTTATCGCTAGATTTATGTACACGTTCGCTAGTACCATATTCACTTTTCATATATTATATAAAAATTTTTGTCGCTCTCTCGGCAACGATTATCGACGTTTTAATGGCAAATATTTCGTTTTATTGTTATTATTTTTTTTATTCTTCCTTCGAATTAAAAGCTTTTATCGGCACATAATTGAAGTGTAAAAAAGAAGCGCAAAATAAACACGACTTGGTTAGCGCGAGGCAGTGTCGAGTAAACGTGGCGAAACTTGGCGTAGCGCGGGTTATATAAATCCCATAATAAGCATGGGGTATAACGCAACCGGCAGCGTATCGCCTTTATCTTTAGGACTTTAATGTTGAAAGGGACCTCGAAGCTGCTATATGGTTTAATCAATAAAACGGTTGTCATCGCAGCCGGGCGGTGTCGAGAAGCAAATATTGTTGCGCCGCACGCGAACTCAGTTTCGCTCGCCTCTCTCTCTTCCATTCTCTGAACAGAGATCGTCGCTAACGCGCGTACTCAAGTTCAAGGCTAGAATCTTGGCATTTTGTTTTGCCCTTTATAGCCTCGTGCTCGGCTAATCTCTGCTTGAATTTTCTATACAATTGCACCGTAGGTACGTTTTATAGCATCGTTGATCGATCCTTGCGCGGCTCGCGTCTCCCTCGCGCATTTTGAAAGCCACGCGTTGTTTTGTACGCTTCTCTTTGTTAATCACGAGCGATCGTTAGTTCCATCAATAATTACGAGTTCACACGGATCGTGAGCGCGAGTTTACGCTGCCACAGCTCATTGTCCGCCGGATGCAAATATAATGAAAGGCCTCGACAATATACTCCTGCACGCACTTTTATGTGTAAACAAAACAATCAACGCATCGCAACTCGAAATTTCACGAGCATTGCGACCAAGTTCGATATTTACCTCGAGTAATCTCGGCTCACAATGTATCCTTTCTCTGGCTCGATGCTTCTTCCAACGCCATATCGAATACTTGTATCGGCCGACTCGATCGCGCTCACGTATTCGCTCGAGTCTTGAAAATTTATCAGCTGCTCGATGCGTTAAGGTAGAGAGCAAGAGGATAAATAGGTGGCAGGTTGGTTCGAGTTTAAAAGAGACTCCGCTGTAGCTACGATTATTACCTTCTCGTTTTGGACTCGGGGATCAGACGTATACAATGTATATATAGGTATAAATAAGCTCATTTTCAGTTGCTCGAGCAAAAAAAAGGGAAAGTGGCTTTTATAAAGGATACTTTATGAAGTTGTACAGTTGGAGTCTCGCTGCAGCATCGCACGAGCTGCGATCTTCCTTCGTAAATTGATCCATTTATTTATCCATTTCAAAGATTAATATACCTCATTAGCTTGCACTTAAGCGCGGGGCCACTTTATAACTATACTTTTTTCTCGAACCTCCCTCGAAATATATATGTAGGCATTTACATCGAGCCGCTCGAGTTCACGTGCGAATGCTGATCCGGCAAAGAAATATTTAGCGCGATTGCGGCTTAATTTTCAGCGATCAATCTCATTTAAGAAAAAGAAGAAGAGAAAATCGCATACCCGCTCTTTCGCGCTGTGGATTTGATATTTTTAGGGGGCGAGGTCGTTTATTCTGGAACAAAGAAAAATCGTTCGATCTTCGTTAAGTGATGAAAAAGACAAAAGAAACGCGCACTTTTCGTTTTAACGAATCTCAACCGATAATTATCGTTCTGATTTACAAGCGTCGATGACACGTACGTGTATCGAGATACCGAGTGCAGAAGAATTTTACGGCCGACACATTGCCAAAATACGTACGAATATACACGAGTGTATAGAGGATACATTTGAGCTTGCGACGCGCAACGATCCGCGAACCAGTTGGTCATGAGCGACTCAGCTCCTCGGCGCACGAGGCAGAGTAGCAGAAGTAAATCACGGCAGCGGGCGAAAATTATACACTAAATGCCATTTTGCCGCGACTATAAACCATAGAAGCTTGGCGTGTATATACATAACGTAAGTGCAAATTTCGCGCAAGCTGAAATCTGTCACCGACACGCGCTCGAGTTTCGCGCGCTTGGCTTAACGCATTTTTAAAGCCAAGTTGAAAATATAACTGCTTCGGACACGTTATATTACCTCGTGCGCGCGCGGCTTTGAATTTTACGCTCGCAAGCTCCCGAGTGTCATTTATTTACGCCTATTGCCATGTGCGCCGCTTAATATTTATTGCTGGGCTTCGCGCGGACACCGGCACTGCAACGGTATACTACTACCTGCCCTATGTGCACGAATAATCTCAAGCTGCCCTTTACACTTTATTTCCATTGCTGTTTTGACTGCTACGAATTTGAAACAAATGACGCTGCTCGAGTGCTTTACTGCTTTTAGTCATGGCTACTCGCTGTGTCAAAAAGTTTTTTTTACTACCTTCGGTTTGTATATCAGCGGTGAAAATTACTCGATTCTTTATCCCTTTTCACGAGGAATTTATCGACATCCTCTCTACTCTCGAATCTCGCGCGATAGAGTCTCGTAGGCTTTGATAAGTAGCGCATGACTGCTACATAAGGATGAAAAGAATCAAAGCTCCCGATGTGGCACGCGTGCGAGTGTAAATACTTTCTCTCGGCGGTGAGCGGGTGAAAAGGCTTCCGGGCAGGACGCGACGAGGCCTTTTCTCCTCGTCTACTATTACAGAAGGTTATAAGGTCGAATTAGCGCATTGAATCCAGCATGTCCCGGGCTCGACTTTGTCACGCTCGATTATGAATGCGGATTAAGCCATTCAAAAAGGAGCAGCAGCACGCCAGCCACGCCTGACGCAAGCTCAGACACGAAAAAGGCTTTCAATTGAAAGAACCGAAAAGGAGATTATTTCTCTGCTCATAATGCTATATATATTAGAAACTTCCTGCTTTTGCAGGACCTCGTAACTTCTATTTTACTCGCGCTCGATTTGTTTTTGATAAAAATCGAAATTTCCTTAACCTTCGGTGAAATTTTGACAGCACGAAAAATAGGAGCGACTGCTGCTTCGTGAATAGAGCCTTAAATACTCGACGTAGGGACCTGGGGTGCTACGAGGATTTGTCAATACACTTGATTGCTTAGGAATAATTAAGTGTAATATGATAAACGACACGCGTGGCAAGCTTTACCATCAGTTTTATTCGACGTTGATGACGTTAAATGTATTGCAAAATTCAGAGAAAACAATTCAAATAAATTTAAAAAAAGCTATACAATGGGGCTTTTTCACAAAATCTCTCCTATCATGGGGTCTGTATAAAATTATTTAGCGAAATTTCTAAAATTCTAATTCGCTAAAAAAGTCTCTGAGTGGACCTAAAAAACATTTGTGACTCAAGTTGTTGTTCAAAATTCTGAAAAATCACACGCATTCTTTGACTTATTCGTAGCACTTTTTGATGTATAAGGTTTTTATGTATGGTTGTAATCGAGGTTTCCAAGAATGAACATTTCTATTCTTAAATTTGTTCAATGAATAAATAAAAGAAAATTTTGAAATTATATATAATACTTGGATCACAATTAAATCAAGATTTTCTATTGTAAGATAACTTTTCATTGAACAATTTACCGTTTTCAAATTCTTCGATATTTCAACTGATCACGTCGATGCTATTAATTATTATTTTAAATTAAACAGGTAAAAAATTTTTCAGATGTTCATTTACAACAGAACATCATTCGAGCAGTTGAAAAAACTTCCCACGTGGCCGTGCATACTCGACTTTTCTATATTATTCGCTTCGTTCGACGGCGCACAAAAAAGCGCAGCGTACCTATATCTATCAGCGAGTGCAAGAGAAATAAGGTTACGCGAAGCTACACAAATGCAGGGGAGGCACGAGCACCGATCAGTGAGCGCGCATGCAATGGACACGCTGCGGCAAAAGCGAGCAAGCGGACTCTCGTCACTCACGAGCACCAGGTAATCACTCCGAGGAGTCTAGATTATCACACTCGATTGATCGTTTTGTACAGAGTCAACCCTCGTACTTTACATGCTTAAAAAAGTATCACTTTAAAAAATATGCTTGCAAAATTTTCAAAAAGTTCGTACGCTCCGCTAGGCCAATTGTCAGCTGCGCGCACCTACTAACACGCCTAAGTGCATCAAAGCAAAGCTCGTCCTAACAACAGAGACCAAAAGTTAGCAACACTACGAGTTGTTTAGCGTTGCGAGCCATTGAACTGGTAAACCAATGTGCCGAACACAGCATGCAAGCCTTGCAGGAATGTACGTGTATATGTAGCGGACAAGTCTCAAGAATGTTCTCCGAAATTAGTCACGTCGAAACTTGGCCGATTGAATTAGGATGGCAGAAGACTTTGTCAATCTCTGCGAGGATGTGTTTAAGAGCACTGTACCACTGCCACGTGTAATATAATTGAGTTGTCTGTTCCGCGTCAGAAGCAATGAACTCCTGCAGGGAGCCTATCACGAACCAAACAAAGTATGATACTCCTTTTTTCAAGTCTATCATTACTATATGAAAAAAATCGAATGGAATAATGACCAGAAACAATTTTCTTTCATTCTAACAGTTATTTATTTTCATTATTTATTAGCTTGATAATAGTAAATACTGTTACATAATATACATTTCGTAGGAATGGTGGGCAATCGGCAAACACGTTGTATCGTTTACTTTAAAAACTTTTACATGTATGCATCATTATTTTCATTATAAAATACGTGTATCATAGTATAATAATCATTCAATCATGTTTAAAATTATCACTACAAGTGACGTAAATAAAATTAAAAATCATTTTCTTGTACTTGTTGCCTATACTTTTGTTGTAGTGTTATAATAGCTACCACTATATTTCTACATTATACAATTATTACATTTACTAAACTGTTTGACAGCTCATTAGATTTAAATTTTTTATTTAGCATTTATATATACATTAATTTATAGTTTTTCTATTTCAGATAAGAACTTTTAATTTGGCATGGACGTAGATTAGTAACTGTTATAGAAATTGCCGATACTTAAAAATTCTCATACATTATTTTTATTGTATAATTTGTTTCATACCCTTTTATGAAACTTTTTTGCAAATTTAATTGTATAGATGTCTGTGAATTTCCAAAAAATTTTAATTGAAGTATAGAATCAGTCTTACATTGAACGGTGGTATAGGCCTCGAATTTTACACGATAAATTTGAAATTTATTCAGAAGTAAATTAATTTTTCAGAAAGCCATAGACTTGCATATATACATAATTTATACAATCAAACGAAATATAAACATTATTCTAATACTCAAGTAAAAATTTACACTTTTTTCGTATTTACGCCTATAAATGACATACGTAATTTAATTGACTCCTTGACTGCTTATAAAATAAACGTTAAATATCGAGTGTTATTAACTGAATTCCATTTCATGTTAATCACGACATTTATTTAAAAAAAACAATGTTACTTTTTTAACCATGCAGTAATATTTTTCGTGTTTGATGTATTGTTAAAGATACCTGTAAAAATCGCTAAAGTTAGTCTCGCAAAAAGGTACGTACATCAAGCGCTTGCTCATTTTTTCGTGTACATAAACACGCAATCTTAGTTATCACAATCGGCCCATACTACAATTATAAACATTCACTCTTTTTTTTTAATACATGTCGTATAGCTTGAAGTGTTTTTCGTTTTGTTTGACAAACCAGAAAAATCACTATCAATTAATCCTTAACACATGTAAATTGATACAGAGTATACTATATTACTATACTATATTTTTCAAAAAAACGTGGATCAATTTTAAAAATTGTCCAATGAACATACAAATTTCTTATTTAAGCGTTTGGACATTCCTAAGGAGGAAGTGAAATAATTTCGTCAAAGCTTGACACCGTTTAATAATTTTGTCCACTTTCAACATTTGTCGTTTAAATTGAATGTGTCCCATTCGGCATTATGAAATTCGTATGCGACATGTATACATTACATTTATAATTATAATCGTGAACTATGATAAAAATCGATGTATAAATTAGTATCACATGTCTCTTAAATCTTAAAATTAAAAGAAATTGTTGGACTTAATTGTTCGTATAGTTATTTTGTCTAATTCAGCTGTATATTGTTAGTAGCACAACTCAGTCTCTAAAAATTTTTAAGATGCTCTCTAGAAGTTCATAGACGCACATAAATAGTTTTAACTATCGTATAGACTATCCTTCTAAAGTTACAGTTAATAATATACGCGTATGACTTCTCCAAATTCTTTGGTTGTCTATACTATGGCGTCTGACACCTTGGTGTATAATACCGAAAATTTTCAGGTATATTTTATCAAAATTTCAAAAAGCGTAGCTCAATGGATAAAATGATCATAAAAATGGCAGTGTTGTATTACATATTGGCTGGTTTAGAACAATTTTAACGGATCTCGTAAAACTCGTACAAATTATTCCATGAGCTTTCCAAAAAAATTACTGATCAATTTAAAACGATGTTACATTTTATCATGAATTACTCTATGAGGTGTTTTTCAAAATAATAATAATTTAAATTTTACGTCTTGTTCATGATCTACGCCTTAGCAATATTCAAAATTAATCAATTACCACGTGGTCAAGGCAATTTTTCCAAGGCATTAGTTTTACAATATATTAATCTATCGGTCAAAATTGAAAGTTTGACAGATTCTAAGATTGTTTTGCCAATTTATTCTCTCTTTAATAATAAAATTACCCATTAAATGTTACATATAACCAGACGATCAGTAGTTAAAATTATTTATTGTCTCGCATTGATAATACTATTATATGTTAGATTTTAACTTTTAACCGTGGTACGAATAGTTGAACTGAGTTTTCTTCACGAGTTAATTCTTGCAATTTTTGAGATTATTCATAATAACCAATAATATAATAAAAGATACTTTTCTTTCATTTCAATGTTTGATGCTCAATTTCTGTTTTCAGCAAGCAATAATATTTATATTTATATAAATTTGGAAATTTTAGCTCATAAATTTGTAAAGGTTGATTAGTTTTAATTTTCTAATAATTTATAGAGTAGTTTATTATGTTTGATACGTTACAAATAAAAAGGTTACGATCGTTGAACTTTGTTAATAGATTCACTTACAAAATCCAACATATTCAACTTATTATTTTTGAAAACACATAATTGTAATGTCGTATTTTATTATTGTAAGCAACTGGAAGTGAATAATGATCAAGTTGAAAGAAGTTTGTCTAATTCCAATAACCACTTCTTCAAAGTCAGTCTTTGAAGAGTATTTGAGAAAAGATTTAATCAGAAGAGTCGAATTGTAACGTTTATCAAACATCATTCGACCTAGCCAAGGAGTATATAGCATCGGTGAGTCAAGAGTTTTCAAGCCTCGACTTGACGGTAATACTTTTTAATTCCAGAGAATCAGCCTCAATTACGCATGTGTGTATAGCTTACTTTCCTCTTTACTCTCTGGGAGAGTTTCAGAGGAGGAGCTCCGCCGCAATGAGAGATTCTCTAGTCTCGTATTCTCAGCAGATGGTTTCGAGGGGCGCCGACTTGGTGCTCGGGTTCTGGGTGAAGCTGTCGCCCATGCTCGGCATGCCGTGGCTCGTCGTGCTCAGGCCGTTGCCTTGACGATTGGAATTGGCCCGAGGATTGCGAGACCAGAGCCGTTTGAGGGCCGCTCGGACCTGAGGCTGGCAGCCGACCACGAGGAAGATGAGAACGCCCTGAGCTGCGTTGCAGAGGTCCGTCACGTACCACAGGAAATCGGGCCCACCCGCCATCCACGAAAGCACGTCGAAGATCCAGGGGACTCCCATGACTATGACCAGCTTTAGACACACTTTACCCAGTGCTGCCCTGTAAAATGAAAACGATAAAAATTTGTAAACGTTGAATCGAATGAATTTTCGCTAACTCTTTGAAAGATTGAATGACATTTATAACAATTGTCGAGCCGAGGCTTAATTGCTGCAAGATAGTTCGATTAAACTTGCAGAAGTGTTTTAAATAATAAACTCGCAGAGAGCACGGAACTAAATGTAGTTTGCAAAGATACTTCAGAAGCTGTTAGGCAAGTTTTCGATAGTTTTCGGTCTCACACGTATACACCAACGCTAAATTAATTTGCTTTTCAAATCCTTTGAATTTCACGAACTCTCGAGCCTGCTTGTACGAATGAGGATTGAAATGCGTTGATAAAAGTAAGATTACATCTCTGCGCGAGTGCAGTTGAAGAGAAATTTTTCTACCAGCTCGAGTATTATAACAAACGTACAGAAGAAACTTATATAACGGAGCTTTTTCTGTAGTTATTAGCGCAGCTTGATTGTTTGTTTACATAGCCGCATATTGTAAGAAAACACAGTTCTCGTTATAATACAATGTTTCGACGTAAATTCACGTTGATAATTTTATTCAGCAAATTTGAAAAAATACAACATACATAAATATGGTCGATTAGTTTTTCAATTTAATATGCAGTTTAAATTATGAAATTTCTGCAATATAAGCAGATGTAATTTTTAATGCATATGAACAAGCGAAACGTTATTATTCACAATTAAAATATGAAAACATGTCGCGCGCGGGTCTGAAATTAGCTGCAGAAAATTAAAATTAAATCTCTCGGCGAGGAAATGGCAGAAGACAAGCAATACAATTAAACGCGCGCGCGCGAACCAGCTAGCTCTCTACAAGCGAGATGAAAAATATACGTTGCAATAATTTGACAGCCATATACGTATTATATATAACGCGCTGCGTTTTCTGTCTTCTCGGAGCCCACGCGCGCTATATGCAGCAGCATGTGTATCGTTTCTCTGTTAACTCGGGAAAGCAGTAATTAAACGTATATTTATCAGTGAAACGTCGATATAAATTCGATTGTTAATGGGAAACGCACACGACCGAGGGTCAGCACGGCAATCGCGCGCAACTCTCTGCGAAGTATATTTGCGCCGATCTTTGCGCTGTTTCGAACAATAATTATTGCACCGTGGGCTATATACGCGTGAAAAACGTATGCACGATCGTTATGAATGTATATAAAGTTCACGAGTGCCGTCTGGGACTCTTGTGCGCCACGCTCGGCTGCATTTTCTACATATGCCAAGCGCGAAAGAGAGGAAAACTGAGCGTAGAGACCTCATTCGCGTATCTATTTCGGTGACTCTTGCTACCCATACCACCGCTACTGCACTCGAGGCTAATTATTGCCATTCTTCTCGCTCTCTCTCTCTCTTTCTCTCACGCCTGCGTGCGATATTATATTATACGATACGCTCGAAACGCATGAAGCGGGCGCACTCGCGCAATATTCGTTCTTTCGGGGTGGAAAAATAGGTTATAAAGACGCGGCAACGGCGGCAGAGCTATCGGAGAGTCCGTCCGAGCGCGGCTGGACGCGCGACGTAGCTTAATCCCCGACGCTAATTGTTCATGTTCGCGCGACTGTGAGAATTGCTTTTGCCTCTCTCTTTCTCTCGTGCAGCAAGCGCACCAAGCGAAACGCCTGCTACCCGCTGCGAAAGAGAGAAAAAACGAACAAAAAAGACCGATCTTTCCGCGCGAACCACACATGCATGCAGAGAAAAAGAGAGAGAGAGAGAGAGGGACGTTCGCGTGTCTTTTATTTTTATTCTTAATTTTCCAGAACGCTGGGCAAAATCAACGGCAAACTTTTTGATATTTATTTCGACGTTATCATCGAGCGGATGTGGGGAAAAAGCTCGACACAAAAACGACCATTGCAATTACAAACTTATATTTATTGGTCGAATTATCGAAAGCAATAAAATTAATTGCAGCGCGTTATTGGTCTTTGAAAATGTGTTACATATGTACCGTAGGCAGAATAATAACAAATAATTTTTATCGGTGTTAGTTGTTCAAGTAGATTGTGAATGTTTCAAATGACAGGTAATTGTGTTAATAACTCTTAAAATTTGAACCCAATTTAAAGGCATTTATTATATTTAATTAACTAAAAAACTATAAAAGTGATGAAAACTTATTCATTCCACAATTTTTCCGTTTCATCGATTATTATATTTACTTCAATCACAAAAACGGCTCTGTACAACTTTTACCAGTATTTTATCTGAAATACCTGCCTTTTAATCTTAATGTACCATCGTTTAATCAAAATAATGTCATCAAGAGCCATCAGGCCTGCTTGTAAAAAAGTCAGTGTAAGCAGTTATTATACGCGACGGTGCGCACAGTCAACGATCTCAAAAAACATTGCAGCAGCAACAACTGCTCCACGCGCATCGATTTCCGCACTGTAATTTGTACGTTTGATTATATACATTTTAAGCGCCGTCGTTGTCGATATGCCACATGCGGGGTGTAGGTATACACAGGCGGCTGAGGCAGACACGCGAAATACGAACCGTTATGTTGCAGTCACGCTCGAAATTAGTGAATTATGGGAAGCCGTGTGAAAAGTGTGTTTATAATGACTGCTGCGAAGGAAATTGAAGTTGTCGAGGGTGGCAGCAAGTACCTATGTATGTGCGTGCCAATGATATGCTTGATCTTGATTCACTTGAGGATTTTTACATAAAAATTTCGTACCTAGTAAAGATAATATTTCGGTAGCAGATAAATAAATCTTTCTTACCCTGCTAGACCGTATTATTAAAAGTTCAGTGAAATACTATTTTTTGTGTCAATGATTATTTTTGATCGAAGAATATGATTACGAATTCAAGGCTTTTCTGCAATCGTAGATGAAAAGTGATATTGTCAAATGACAAGATCGTGAAAATATCGAATGACAGTAAAAAATGAACGTACTTTGTAATAAATAAGAATAATGAACAACGCCCTTAGTTACAAGGATTAATTATATAAAGTAAAAAAGCTCGGGGTGGTTCACGACAGTAAAAGTATCACCTCACTACTAATTTTCTGCATTTTTGTTGGGAAAATTAATATCCAAGTTTCAGCTGAAAATTCTAGCACAATATGGAAGCACGGCAAAGATTGCACGTATATATAAAAGATTCCAGTTAGCTTGTGATACGCTAGACCTAAAGTCCCTGACGTTGTCTCGTATCTCATCAAAAATTAATCAACATACCAAGAGTCGAGCCGCCGCTGCCGTCGCTGCGCCAGTCGCATGAGCGCAAGCAGATGAAGCGGTAGCAGCATCAGCTTGGCGACGCCACGCCATGTACCGTTTTAATTGATTAAACGAGCTGCTGCTGCTACTTGTGCACAAAAACTCGAGAACAACACCTCGAGCCTTGAGACCATATCCTACATTACAATGTATATACTTTGGCAAAAGACTCGCAAGCTGCTTCTTCCATCTCTGCCGCTAAGGGCTAAAGAGGCGAGCTTCTAAAAAGGAAACTCGAGACTATAGACAAAATCCAGCTGTAGGCGAGCAAAGCAGTGCGTGCACGCGCGAGGATTAGGCTATATATACCGTGGCTGAAAGAAAAGTTGCACAAGTCCGCCTGCGTTACTCACGCGTCTTGTGCTTCAAATAATGTATCGCACGCACTAACCTGTCGTAAAGGCTATATAACAAGTTTTATATGCGCGGGGATGTGGCGTTGAATAAGTGTCCGTGCATGCGTTCGTTAAGCGCGCCTGTGCGGCAGACGACAACGGCGCAGGATCGTTGATGAAGCGCTGCTAAGGCGAAATACTGCCCAAGAGCTTTTACGCCTCGCGCAAATCATTGTCGCTTTAGGATGAAAAGGAGAGGCGGCTTATGGGTCGTAACGATTTTTAGAGCCTTTTGAATGGCAAATGCACATATTAACGATACATACACGTACGTAACAGTGTGCGCTGTGTTCCATTTTGTTTTACCTCTTTAGAAATCGTTAAACTTCTTACCTGAATGAATATGAAATTAAAAAAAAATAAAAAAAAGTACCATACCTACGAAGTCGACGTTCATGTGCACTTTCTAAATTCCTCGGTATTATACGTAAAGTTCTGCAAATAAAAAAAATTTAAAAAAAAAAATTATCATAGAGTAAAATAAAAAATTGAAGATTCTCCATGAGTACTATTACAATGATTTATTCTACGATGTTTGTTCTACTTTCAAGCACGCAAAAAGATTGTTTCGCTATCTACTACCGATCGTCATTGGAATCATGTTATGTTGGAAGTCTAATTATTTCGATGCTATCGCTACTAACACAAATATCTTGTTAATTAACACTAAAATTGAGGAGTTGATTTTTCAAAGACACTGCTCGGCAACAGAGCAACACATACTTATAAATAAATGATTTTATAATCATTTTTTTTGCCATCGTAAGTAGGCATAGAATAGATGATCGAGCAACCTTTATCTAAAAACAAATTTTCATTGAGAAAGGCAAAAAATGTTGAAGCGAAAAAACTGAGGTCAGTAGATAAATTCCATAGCTGTTCATGTACGAATAACTCCGTATTTCAATTATAATTTCGCGTACCTCCTTTTTTCGCCAAGGCCAAGGGAATACGTAATAATTGTTTGTAAATCTATGCGCGCGCGCGCACGCACGAACTCGCGGCGCAACTTTTACATGCATTTAATCCTTTGGTTTTTTCACAAAAAAGAAAATGAATCCGCGCAAGATGGGAGAGATTTTGCGGCGTAGTACTATAATACGCATTGGAGCGCTCAAAAACTCATTCTGCGTTGCGCGATATATATTCTTCGAACGGCTCGCCTTACACCGAACGTCGAAATGGAATAACGCAATTACGCGTGCATAAGAGAAGAAGAAAAAAAGAAGAAAAGGAGGCTCGAGTGCGGAATGATACGTGAAACGGCCACGCTCAGCCTGGGCAAGCTAACAACGCTCGGTGCAGCGTGATGAATTATCCAAGGAATTTTATGTGGGAAAAATCAGCAAAGAATATATATATATTATATACGTAGGCAGCAGTTAGATACGTATACCTATAGCATACGTATGAGCGAGAGAAGGCCGATGAAGAGCTGCTAGTGCGCGGAAAAAGGGTAAACAACGCGTTCGACGTGTACAGAGGAGAGAGAGAGACTGATTGAAAAATTTTGTCGACGCATGTTGCGCGGACAATCTGTATCATCGATGTACGTGTGTGGGTACGTACATATGTATAGAGTAAGCAACGTTGTTATAACGACTTTTTGAATGTAACGAATAAACGCACCTGTGCGCCTCGTGCCTGCATCATCGAGTTATCGTAATTGCGACGCATGTCACTCCGGGAGCTCCGGGCCCAGCTTCACCGCGCGGCTATAGTATAAAGATCAGCTCGTCGCGATTTGCGCGAGCAGCTGCAGGCCAGGTTGTTTAGATTTTTTTCGCCCCGCTACGTGTATACCGTAGGCTCGTTTACATCGTCCCTCTGTTTCTCTCTTGCGATCGATAAATATATTTCACTCTGCTTTTGCCTCGCGACATCGGTGTTTATCGATAGCCGAAGCGTATACCAACGACTCGATTAGAAATTATATCCTCGCACATCGAGTATTGTCCCGCAGTAGCAGCAGCGGCTTTCCCATTGCGATCGTATTGAAATTTGTAGTAACTGTTATTGCCGATAGGCTATATAAGCTGTACATATACGGGCACAATTGACATTTACCGTCGTTTATCGAGGAAAAACATTTTTCCAATTCGTTCGCGCCTGCAGGAAAACGATACGTATAGCAGAGAGCGCATACGAGAAGTAAAATAAAATTCAAAATAATTTTTCGTATTCAAGCGCACGTCGAGCGCGAAGCCAGCATAGAACTTGCGGATAAAATATACCATTCTCGGCTCGATTCTCTCTCTCTCTCTCTCTCTCTCTCTCTCTCTTTCGATCCTTGGAAGCTTTATGATAAAGTTGTAAAAATTGGAGCCGCGCGCGACCGAGGCTAGCTCGGCATATAAGACAGACGGGCGTATACAGTACATACATATACAGTAGCCGAATAGCGAACTCTTTATTGCCGCAAGCGCAAGCGGGATGGAAGTTTCACGCTAGCCAGAGGAAATCTTTGATGGCTTCTGAATGGTCGCTCGTAAAAAATAGCCTGACGATAGAGAGAGAGAGGAGGAAACAGAGCAACGGTTATATTACAATCCATCTTCAGTTCAGAGACACACATACACTTTATATATATCCGCGCGCTCGCGCGTTTCGCGCAAGTTTATTGCTCGTATAACGTGCTACATATCTCACGGACTTTTATATGCCGAGAGGAATAGATAGATAGATAGAGAGAGAGAGAGAGAAGAGCTAAGCCGAGCTGCGAGGCATATAGAGTGCACGAATCCGTTTTCAATTGTTGAAATAATACGGCGCGAATCGGAATCGATCACGCGCAAAGTCTAAACTCGAGACTGCAATGCAGTGCGCGCTTATTCGAGGATTATACACTAATTGAACGATTGACCGTGAGAATATGGCACCACAGACGTACAGAGATCTCGGCATGCCATAGCGTCATAGAGTCGAATAAAGCCGCGTTCGAGCCTGCACACATACTTATACATACATATAATTGCCCCACGTCGTTTCCGATATGTATAAGCCTCGCGTAGGCTGTACGCGCGAGTGTAACATCCGAAGGCGCATCGCGCGGCTTAAAAGCAGAATTACACGCGAATTATGTCTTCCCTTTACGATTTTGATCCCCGTGCACGTACCTACTATAGACATAGACGCGGCGCAACGAGATGGCTCGGCAACGTGAACTTGTACGCAGTTGTTATGAGAAAGTCCTTTGTGGAATTATTTTCGAAATTATTGCGGTCGAACCTATCGAAAACGGTTGCAAGCTTGGCATTCGAATGGCGAGGCATAGCTTCCTTTAGCGACGCGCCGTATAGCTGCGACCGCAACGCTCACCGCAATATGGATGCCGATCTTTGATACAATAAGGCCTCGAGCTTTTCAGACCTCGAGACGAGACCCAGACGCGCAACAGTAATAAACGCATTTGTGCAAAGCTGCAGCGGCGTACACGTTTGCGCGACGCGTTCGCAAAACTATGAGTAGCACGACGCGTTATGCACGTTGCCCCGAACGTGCAGCAACGTCACCTCGTTTTCCTTCAAGAAATGATTTAGAATGGATTCATGCACGTGATTTACACTGGCTGAACTGTATAATATAAGCGAGGCTTGTGCACAGGAGAGCGAGAGAGAGAAGCCCTGCAGCCGCATGATAGATGAGCTCTTGGTTGGGTAATTAACGAGTTTATAGCCCTTCATAACCGTGTGCATATACATGGATATATATATACGCTACATACGTGCAGTACGACTGCAGCTTGCCTCATTAGACCCGTATTAATAAATAGTGTACTGCACACATTTATATACGTGTGTGCGTACGCGCAACTATATACATAAGCTTGCAAGAAATCAAGTGGAAATACGAATAAAGCGAGAAGGAGCTTTCCATGCAACATTTAAGATTGTTTAATACCGCTTTGGTTCATAAGTAGCCATGCGCGCAATTTATTTTTAGGTATTCTTTTTGTAAAATGAACGATCGTTACGATTTTCAATATACACTTGATTAAGTTGAGCTGTTTGCGTTGGATATTATAACATACAGCGGCAACCAATAACATTATCGATAGATTTTTAGCGAAAATTTGAACCGAGATATTATGAATTATATTTATTTCTGTAGTCGGATTTGTTAATTTCGATTTTGATGAGTACTGGCGGTTGTTATTACCGGTGTTTTTATTAATTAATTGCGTTTTAATGAGTTTCAATCAAAATTCGAATGTTGTGTGTTGTACACATGCACAATATAACTAGAGTTTTCATCAATTCCGCACAGAGTAGAGATAGCCAAAACCTCGTGATTAAATAGCAATTAATTAATAAAAAACGCCGTTAATAACAAGATATAACTTACAACAGACTTCAGTCATGATTTGCAGTGGATATTTAGTTTTATACATTTTACACATATAAAGTGCAGCTTTCATTTACTTTCGAAATGGACCTTTGACTAACGTGTATCAACCTCGAATTCAATTAAGACCAAAATGAAATTTAATAAAGCACATATGTGTAAGTTCGTGATTAAATTTGCTGTACGACCACTTTTCTAGCCAAACATTTCAGATCGTCATATTATACGAAATGATGTTGGACTACGTATAGGGACGCAAATTGGATTTGCTGTCAAAATATAGAAAGAACATTTCACGTCATTTTATTAAAAAAAAGAGAGAGAGGGAAAAAATAAAAAGAAAAAAGGTTGAAAGGAGAAATCCAAGCAACTGCTTTTGCCGCAGTGGGACGTTTTATGATTTCTTCTAGTTGGATTGCACGTGAGGCAAAGGTGACGGCGTGCGAGGCTCGCACACACGCGGCATATACCTCCTTTGTCAATAGGTCTTCAAAGAAATCTCTTGACTCTTACCTCTCAGTCGTGCTTTTTACGAACTCGCCCTTCCACAGGCCGCAAGTCAGCTCGTGAGCCGTCGCCGCAAAGAAGAGAAGATTTATCGCCAACAGTATGCCGATCGGTCCGAAAAAGTAAGCGAGAATCTCCATATCACCTGCAACGAATCAAAGCAAAAAATTTATTTAATCAATATTTTGAACCATTTGATATTTTAATAGTGATAATAGGTTGACATTTTGATTAAGCTGGAAAAGCAAAGTGCCGAAACTAATAAAGCAAGTTTATCTCGCGCCAAGTGTGATTAATAGACTCTCGAAATCACCGATGAAATATCGAGCACATATACGCGCTGTGTACACGCCGCCGAAGTAAGCACAGTTAACTGCATCGAGCAGATCTATTGGAAAACAGAAGTTGTTGCCGTTGATGCCTACTAAGTTTTCGGCCAACCATGATTTAGTGAATTATCGCCTCCGCTCGCTAATTGTTTACTCTCTAAATACGCGCTGGACTGCAAGCACATACTGTATTGTATTTATGTATCTCACGACAGGCTGGCTGCAGATATTTCATTGCCGGGGAAAATTTACGGACAAGATAAGCCAATGTATGATTTGGCTGTAGTCATTCTGATCGTTGTTTTATCACTGCACTCCCGAACCCCGAATTATTTTCATTTTTATGAAGCAATTTTTTTGCTGTACTTTTTGGCTAATGGACGAATTGCGCGCGCGATTTTACTCGACCTACAAACTTGGAGTTTTAAAACATTGTTGAAGAAAAATCAATCGAAAAGGTCTGTACACAAAAGCGTATAGGGAAAAAATAATTTACGGATCGCATTTGGAGCCGATGTGTACATAAAACTGCTAGTCGAGCAAGTGCATTGTAAACTTCGGAAAGTCGAATGAATATAAAATGTATATATAGCCTAGCATGAATAGAAATACCCTCGCGGTGCACTTGGTGGTTACACTTTTTGTGACCTCCATTATATACCTAGACGGCGCAGCGACACTTGACCGCACGATAGTCCCGCGCGTTCGCAGCTGACATAAAGCTGCGGCTTACTGTACAAGACATTCCATCTACAAAGAGCGAGCGTCGAACGCCAAGTGTTCGCGCTTGGCAAGAGTATCATAATTATTATCTGCGCCGAGTTTTTACCGACTTCTTTCGATTTCGACGATAATTTTTTTCTTTGCTGACGCGATTCCACGTGGTATATGTCGAATCGAAGTTCTCCTCTCATACATGTGCAAATGTCGAAAATAAAAGCTCGGAGCGCAGTGAAAGTGAGCACTGAGTAAGGGAAAAAGTTGGCGTATTCCTAGTACGTCCTAGGCTGTGAAAGAAACGTTAACTTTTTTTACGAGACCGTCGAGAAGGGCTATGACTTTCAGTCACGCGTTATTTCACGCTAGCTGCGCGGCGCATTTCCCAAGCTCTTGGTCGGTTATTTTCTTTTTTTTCTTTTTTAAATCTCTAAAACACGTTTACGTATCCTGTGCAAGTTGTTTAATTTTCAGTAGCGCGTATAGCGTTACAATAATTTTTTCAATGCATGACAAAACCACATTCGTCAATAACGCTGCACTTGCCTTCAGCCGAAGCTCGTTCGTTATCTCGGCATGCTTAATTAGGTGCGCGTAGGTATGCGTTATACCAGATGCTCGTCGTAACAGGAGAATTTTATATATTTTACATTCGTTAGCCGGTCATTATAACGCGTGTCTGAATTCGGCACTGTATGCGCAGAGATTTTACGCACATGCAGGCGGCGGAGTTACGTACATGGCTGGGCGCGCAGATCGTGATTGAATTTGTATTCATTAATAAAATATCACAACCGGTGCTCTCTGCTCGGTGCCCACCAGAGCCAAGAGAACTGCCACTGTGACCCAGTTGGGCGCATCCAGCCTGTATATAATACGTGCATTATGGAGAGCGCGAGGCATGTTTATGCGAAACACGTGACTGCAGCATCCTCGGCGATATTTAATACGACATAATCTTTGCTCGAGCGATGGAGCGAGCGAAACTCGTTTCGGCAACTTGTGCGGCGCGCGCGTCAAAAACTTTCAAGATCACGGGCACTCGCCGCGCTCGAGCTCGCTCGCACTTACGTCACTCGAGCGTTGCTACTCCTCGTCGACGCTCCTTTTAAATGCCTATAAGGCTCCGGGAGCTTTGAGCACGGAGCGGCCGCGCTCTTTTTTTACCCGGCGTCGCTGATATATATGTAAGCTAGATGCGCTCGGATTCCATCTCTTCCGGCGCGCGCTTCGCCGATACATCAAAAGAAATCCGCGTGCCGATTTCTCATGCCCTTGCAGGAGCTCTAGATGGTTCACGGCTTTTCAAGATTAGCCTTTTTTTGCTACACAGATCGGTTCACAGTTTTTTTTCTGCCAATCTAATAGTTGAGGATAAAAAAATTTGTCAAAACGCGATACGCATAATTCTTCTCGTCTTTTTTGTCCTCGCGCTAAAACTACGGAAGCTACACGCGTATTATGCTAGTCGACTTGCACAGATTCGCGCGCGCAAAGTCATAAATTGCATTATCGTAAAGAACCCATGAATAATCTGTTAAGACGACTTATAACTCGCGAAAGGCGAATGTCAACGAAAAATGCGAACGCGCGAGATATGCGTCCGAGCAACTTGACAGGTTGATATTATACTGCGCTGTAGGGGTGTACGAGACGAATCGCTGCGCAGCTCGCGCGACTCATACATACACATACATAATCTATATACGCTATTCGCCGGCTTCGCTGTACGTTACGCTGGATTGGCTTTGCGCCAAAACGTTATAGATTAAAACGCTTAGGCTTGTACAACGTCTTCTTTTCCTATAGACATTCAACGCGTATATGTATATGAGCAAGCCAAGGCATAGAGCAATACAACCGGAGAATTATGACATTGCAGGCAGCGCAGCGATACATACCACAATCTATATTATGTTCCGTATAATTTGTGTATATACTCGCATACATGAACTATTATGCTCGATATTTCCAATTTGGTTGCTTAGCTTATTTGCAATAAAACTCGAAAAAGGCTCAAAAAGCGGAAAACCGCCCAAAATAGCCCCTCTTGACGTTTTTGCACATTCTTTTTAAGCCCCAATACTAAAATTTAGCAGGTAGTAGCTGATAATTTAAAAAGTTCTGTGAATGTTTTGTAGATAAAATTCTGGATCGAAATCAATTAGATTTTGAGTTTTGTATTTCTGTCTATCGTAAAAGTCTTTAAAAGGCTCAGATCACTAAGGAGTATTTTTCTTCTAAAATTACCAACAAAAAGACTTTCGTGCACTTTATTGTTTAAGTCGCTATGTAAGTAAAGCTAGGAATTTTTTAAAATATTTTTTATCACAGCGTGCGGGAAGTACGTAATTCCCGAGCAGTAGTGTAATAACGATACTTCTCGAAATTACATACTTCCCACACGGCTGAGCGTGCGGGAAAGAAAAACTTCCCACAACTCGTAATAAAAAATAATATATGTCACTCGTGCGCGTGGTGATTCTCGCCCTCGTCTCATTGTCACCATCGCTGCGCTCGGGCGTCAAACTGAGACTCGTGCGAGAATCACCCACTTCGCGCACGAGTGACGTAATATACTATACTATAATCAACCCATTCGGAAAAATGCCAACTTTGAACCTCTGAAAAATGGTATTATAGATAATCCCAAAAATTTTAATAAACTTGGGACATTTCTGATATCGGAAAAAAGTTTTTTATACTTGGAGAAAAATTTTTTTTTGGCCATTCGATTTCACTAAGAATTGTTAAACTCAAAATCGAGTATATATTTTAAATAGTGAATATCTTAGAAATTTAATGGTTTTTGTTATATTTTTAACCGAAGAAAATACAAAAATAAAGATGCGTGTGTTAAGAATAGTTTCAAATATAGAGAACGTCGTTTGTTCGATTGATCTTAAAATCTAATTTTTTAATTATGCTATCAAAGTAACAATAAATACATATACGTTTACTTAAACATAAGAACAAGGATGTAAGAATAGCGAATTATGAGATATGTTCATTAGGCCACTCGGCGTCGTCGTCGTCGTCGTTGGATTTCCCCTCATACATATCGAGCAGCAGCAACGAGTGGGTGCGTAAACACGCAAGGATTGACAAATTTACATGGATGCAGTGCTCGATGTACAGTCCCAAGCTCCACGGCATAATCCGAAATAAATTGCCAGAGTCGGCGGCGACGCGTCTCTCTATTTTTTTGCAGCATCCACGACTGACTCGGAGTCGGGCGCCAGGTCGATTTTCCGCCAAACAATCATCCCCTCGAGATGCCAAGCAGTAGCTATGCACTCGAGTGTTCGACCAGGTGAATCTAAATCCACGAGCGATTCCATGTGGGTCGGGGCAGGGCAAAGAGGGGCTGGCATGGAAACGCTTATCGGCCTCGCATTAGAATCAAGCTCTGCGACTGCACCAGACGGACTGTGTCTCTCCCAGTTTGCCTGTCTGCTTGCAGATCTATACAGACATAGCTTAGTACGATGAATCGAGCACCACTGCAATCACGGAAGATACATATACGCGCCGAGATTATATATACTGCGTGTTGTATTGTTTAATTGTCCAGATAGCAGAGGCTGAGGTGTCAGTCTTGTCCTGTGTACATACTGTCCGAAATTGATCGACACCAGCCAACGAGCAAGGCAGGACGGGGGTAACGACATTGCAGGCGAACTATAGAGGCTCGCGTGATTCTACTTCTTTTCTTGGTCTTATATCAATAGCCACTGCGTCGCTGTGGTTTATAGGGAGCGCCATTGACTGTCCTTGTTGCGTTGACTCTGCAGGATTAAGGAGGACGCGCGCACGATGCTATCATAGTTCAAAGGACTTTATTTGCACTATCTGGAGAGGTTGGAGCGACAATTTACAATGTATACGTGCACCGGCTGGAAATTTATCGTCCGTACAAATATCGCATTGAACCACGAGCTCTTTCGTGGCTGGCGCGTTGCAAGCCCAACTGACAATATAAACATAAACCTCTTGGAACGGCGTCGTAGCAATAAAAGCGCTGTTCTAGAATTTCATTGTCTCTTAAACTTTATAACTGTGTACGTAGTCACTGCTACTGTTTTTTTGTTTTCCTTTTTTTTTAGAATCTGAATTTTTTGTTTGTCAAGTAAGTCATCTAGTCTAGTTTAAAACATATGTTTCGGCTCAATACCAATGAATGTAAACATTTTTCAATATCTTATATATTTTATTTTAAATTACTTTTAAAACTCAAGTCGTGCTAACTCAAAGTATGTTTAATTTGAGTTCCACTGCTTTTTTTTTATGTAACTCACATTATATTATCTGAAAACATTTTGAAGCATCTAATTTGTTAACGTTACTAAACTTTCAATTTTTTTGTTTCTTCCATGGGTAATTAGTCGTGAAAAAATCGTTAATAATAAATAATCAGGCTAATGAATTAAGTATTCAGCTACTGCTTTTCGTTATTTTTTTCAGAGCATAGAATTGTTTCATTCGGAGAATAAGCTTGGAAATCCGTACAATGTACTTTTACATCCCATGAAAATTTATCTCCTATACTGAAATCACACTCAGAATATTTACAGCTAAAATAATTCAGGGTGAAGCTTTTAAGAAGGGGTTCTATATATATAAAGAGTATAGTGCAAGTTTTATTTTCTTCCTTTCCTGTTGTTTCTAAGATCACTATACTGCAGGAAAAAATTAAATGTGCACAATACTTTCTTTTAAGTAAACAAATTTTAATTTAACTTTCTGCTATAGCTAGTCTATTGAGTCTCGCTTACAAATGAAATGGGTAGGGCAACGGAGGAACTGTGTGTTTTTTGTCTTTATTCTTGAATATGGCAGTACCGCAAAAAAATGAATACAAGAGATGCTGCTCGAGTTTTACAAATTTTTTAAATTATATTCATAAAATAATTTACAAAATGCTAATGTAAATATTAATTGCAAAAGGCAATACGTCACAAGATTCAAAAAAGTATTTTTTAATCGAAATTAATTAAAACAATGAAATCCGTTTAATATCAGCGTTTTATGAAACATAACATCGGATTTTTCATTTCTAAAAATATTTTATTAAAAAATGGCTTGAACGTACAATGTGAAAATATTCGTAATTCAGCATTAAACATTAATTTTTCTCCGTCAAAACGTAAAATGTAGGGACCGTATGTGCTTTTCCAGGGATTTTTATTACAAAGAGTATCAATCATTGTTCGTACGCGTGCTATACGTATACAACAAAACGAGCAGCGAAATTTACCTGCAATGCACTATTTTTTTTTCACTTTTCTCCCTTGCAAAAACTTGAATTTACTTCGACTCATATGAATGAAAAAGAGATTTCATGCTGATGAATTTTCTTTTTCGCTGTGTGTATGTGTTGTGTATGTGTATTCGGCCTCGCGCACAATTGTCAGGAACGCGAAGGTTTCTTCCGTACCCTCAAGACGTCATTATCCTGATTTACCTTGACAGGCCTCCGAGGCTTGCGCCGAGGAGTGAGAGAAAAATCGACGCTCGGTATCGGCAAGAGAGGTGTTTGTGTATAGATATATATAAATCGAGACAATTGCGATGCAAGCGGCTGCGCCATGATACCGCGTGTAAATAAAAGCTTTACCCTGAATCTGACGGCCAAAACGAATACATAAGGTAAACAAAAGAAAAGTATTGCGCGCAGATCGGCGGAGTATGCGCGGTGAGCGAAGAAGCTGAAATAAAAATAAAATTTTGCCTCTCAACATGTTTTTCGACACTTTATACACGGCGTTGGGGCGATGTATTTTTCGAATTAATGATTTTCTCTCCACACGTCACGAGCAATTGTTTCGCAACATTTTTGGTGTTGTCTGCAGTTCAAGTTTCAATTTACTTTCGGAGAAAACTTAACATGTAATACGAATATTCGCTGTTTTGTTGAAATAACTTTTGCCTCGCAGGGTAAAAATCGAGGTTTTAAGAAAATATGCTGTGAGAATTTATGAAAAGCTCGAACTTACCGTAAAACCAGCACTGCTTCTCTCCAAATCTCGGCCTGAGGAAGGTCTGGCCGGGTGTCTCGGGCAGATGATCGAGGAACGCTGCGAGTCCGGCCACGATAAGCGGACCGCCCCAGGCGTATGCGCTGTAGAATCTCAGCCGTATCATTTCCTGGCCCTTTTCTAGGCTGGCCGGTCTCAAATCTCTACAAAATTAGAAGCGTTCAGTTTTATCAACAGATGTTCATAAAGAAAATCTTTTAATTGCGTATAAAATTAAATTTATTGAGAGATTATTATTAAACATGAACCTAAATTATGACAGAATTTTAACAAACATCGACTATCGGGAAGCTAACGGACAGGCTCGTTTTGACGTAGATGAACGCGTGCATATGGCTGTTGTATATTATAGGCTGCCCCACAGCGTATACATCAGAGGCTGCATCGGAAAACGTAGCGTATAGCTTCGATTATATGAGCTTCATTAATGTAATCCAAGGATAAGCAAGGCTGTACGCGCGTCGGATTTTAACCGTAATTTGCTGCACGACTGGAAATAATGGACGGATTAGCTACAGCTACTCTTGGTGTATCAGGAGGTTTATAATTATAGCATATTTCGTGGCAGCACTCATTGCCAAAATTCACGTCTACCGCTGTTATCATGAATAATTTAAACAGTATACTGCCTAAATTATTCATGCGTATAGCCATCGAATATATCTGTAAATTGAGTTATAAACGTTTTGATAATGCATTTACAGAAAATAAAGGTTTGCGGAATGAAAAAATGACTATGTTTTGTACAGCAGGCCAATGAAACCAATTGGTCGTGGCTGCAAAAACGATAAGCTCGCGTATAGAGAGCAGGAAAACCAGCAATCCTCTACGTGTCAACGTGGTAATCGGTCGATTTGTCGCACGCGCTTATTGCTCGCTCCTTCGCCGCGCCTATGTATGTGGACCACAAAGCCAGAGATAGAGAGAATCACATGCGCGGAAACTCCGATTAACGCGTGTGTATCGCGTTAAAATCGAAAATTGCATTTAGCCGCACGCGCGCATGAGAGCAGCCGAGCATTGCACACTCCATCTCTGCGCTCGTGTGTGCAACTCTATACCCGATTTCTCTGCCGCAATACGTTTTCCTGCGCTCAGCTCCGGCACTATTATGGCTTGGCGTATTTTAATTTTTTTCCCCCTACTTCTCTTGTTAATAAAAATCGCCGCGTACGAAAATTACGCTCAACTGCTGTCTCGCTTTGAAAATTTTTTTCCTGGCCGAGTTAATCGCACGAATCTGAACTGGGCATCCATGCATTTTTTACGCATCGGTAAGGATTCAAGTAATTTTACCATGCTTCGATTGGATAGCAATTTTACTGAATTAAAAAGAAATAACATTTCATTTGATACGTTCACATATTTTATGAAATTCATAATTGCAATGGGGCTAGGGTACTGATAGTATAGTTATAAAATCCAAAAACAGAATCGAAATTAGCTCGGTTAAATCTGACCAAAATAAATCGCGAGTTTAATTTAAATGTTGCGAGCTCATACAACTCCAAAGGCATTGAAGGATGGATTCTCTACATGTCACGTGCGTCAAATTTTCCAAGTTGGACAAATTTTTGCGTAAAATTCAGCTCGTGATTGGTCGTGGTGTTGCCAAGACTCGCAAATCTATTCAGGTGAAAGGGACAGGCTCTTGTTTGAACAAGTTAGCCGCTTTCGTGAATTCATATCAAAGCTGAGTTTTTGAAAAGGAATAACGCGAGAGCGCATGTATGTGTTTGTTCTTTGTTGAAAAAACGCATTATTTCGCTCGTAAAAGAAATACTCCAGAAATCCTTTTGTTGATTTAATCAAATATTTTTAAAAAAATTTTTATGCATTTGGTTCAATTAAATTCTTTTTAGCGAGGGAATTATGCAGGAGTATTATACGAGGAAAGATAAAATTTCGTCGAGACAAGTACAGTATCGTAGTCTGTTTGTGAGTGCAAGGATTCCGATGACACGTAAAGCTGGCGAGGATAGACCACTAGCCACGATTTATCGATGCTGTACTTTCAAGAAACAAGTAAACGTACAGCTACCTGCAAACCTTTGTGTCTCGTAAATTGCCACTGGAGCACGCACATATATAAATATCAACTTCCTCGTTTGGCTGCGCAGGATTTTAGGAATGTATACTGCATAAAACAGGGTGTGTGTTTGTATATTGTGCGCACAAAGCCATTAATTGCCTTACACTATCTCGAAACTCTGGTTGGAATATTTCATATTTTCTGGGAAAAAATTGAAAAAAGCTAAACCTTAGTAATGCCCGTGTAAGCTTTTCAACTGGAGCGAGCTTGAAAATAGTATTGAATTTCGTCCGATGTAAAGGTTGAAAATGAAACTTTTTAAACGGCAGTGCAGTGAAGCCAAATCATATCGCATGAGTTCCGACAATTACAAACGGAATAAATCGTACATCATTCTTAGTATCGAATGGCAGCCAACACCCAGCATTCGATTTTCATACGGCAATCGTTTGCGTTGTTATAGGTACGTAGTAGAGTAGGCGGCAACGGCAAAATGAACAAAGTTTCGGAGGCGGCAAATTATATTTCACGTGCATAGTGTGTTCTGACCACGCCGTACATTTTGCGCACGAAAGAATTCGAGCGTAATTAAAAGCAGCGCCCAGGCTTCGCTTTGTATTTGCTTCGTTTCCTCCCTGAATATCCAATAAAGTATTGAAATTCTTTTTTTAAGTCTAACCTTCGCGCAAAATTTTATGCAGCCTTACAACGGACTGATGAAACTAGAATGAATTGCATATAGAAATTTTTATTTTCTAGAAAAATTACAAATATAAGAGAAGTTCCATTTGATTATCATACACATATTTTATTTTGCTTGAGGCCAACAGTAGTATTTCTATCATTTAAATTGCAATCAAGTACGTTTGGTTGATATCTTATATAATTATAATAGTAGAAGTACCTTTTGAAAAAGTTAGTTACGAATTAATTAATAGAAGATATATGGTTTTTTATAGTTATTAAAATGAAAGTCGTAAAAAGAACAAATAATTTTTTGGTATTTTTATCTATATATCAGATGACTTTTCAAAAGTTCTTTGTATGAAAATTACTGATTGGCTTTTTCAATTCAGCATTTGTGAAAAACGATGTATCAATCATTCGAAGTGCAAGCTCACAATATTGATCTGTATATGCATGACTCGTATACGTTATATTACATTCGAGCAGCTTTTGATATGAGTTTCGAAGCTGCGATTATTATTATTATTTATTTATTTACTTATTTATTTTTTATACATTTATATATTCGCTTATTTAATATTAATTTATTTATTTTATTATTTCAAAATATTAATCATTAAAAATATATATCCACTGCGTATAAAACTGTAATATACGAGCTGAACACAATTAAGCGTCAAGCAAACTCAAACAATCGTAATATTTTACGAGCTTTAAGCGAGGTAAGACACTGCCGCTGCTTTGACAGTAATATCACGTCTTTCTCGCGGGCAACTTCATTGGCAACTCTCTCAAGAAGATGAGCCACGAATTTTATTGTTTGAGCCGCGTGATGACAATGAAAGCTCCCACGAAAGCTCTGTAACCAACGTATACATGCGTTAGTTAACGCTCCCGAGAATTTCACTATAATAACCAGAGGCCAATAAATTTTTCCCTCGCAAAGTGACATTATTAAAAGCTCGAGGCCGTTATCTACCTCCCCGCAACATTGGCCTTGTTGAGAACGGAGGAAGAGGGCAAAAGAGCGGCGGGAGAGGGCAAAGAGGGAAACGATGGATGGCAGCTCTTTGGCGAGAGAGAGAGAGAGTAAGAAGCCCAGCAGCAGTATACGGAATGAGATATATGCGCGTTCAGGGCAAATTCGTACACTATATACGTGCAGCTCGCGTATAGCGAATAGTCATATAAGCGTCGAGAGATAAGAGTCATAAACGATTTTCACATTGTTATTACGGCGGCAAAGACAGGCAAGAGAGAGAGAGGGAGGGAGAGAGGAAATTTTACGATTGGTTTTGCCCCGTGAAGCAGTAAGCGGTTTTAGGGTCAATTTAAGTGCGCCTGCAACGCCACTACTCCTCTCACGCGTAATATTATTATACAGCTCTGGAGATTGTATTTGCGCTTGGTTCCAACGATAGGCAACTAGACGCCGATATATATTTGCACGCGTTAAAGGCTAAAAAACTACATACTCCTACATTTGCGTGCGCGGGACATAACGGGCATTCCACTTAATCATAGCTCCGGGAAATTTAGCCTATAGTCATTTTTTCACTTTTACTTAGTACATGAATACTCGGAACGGTGTGCGCATATAATTGCCTTTGAGTAGAATGTAGGTGCACATCGCGTCGTTAAATTTTAAAGTTTTCTCCTTTGCATCGTTTGAGCCGCAAGTACGCGCGACACTGAGTTTTTGCGCGCAGTCAACACCAAGTCACGTCCATTACGGCATAATATGTTTCGCGTTCACAGCTTATTTCCTGCCTTTTACTAATTGCGCATCTACCTTTAACTCTCTTTTTCATTTAAAAAACGCGCAGCGTCTGGCCGAGATCTTCTTTTTCCTGCGCTCTTCTCGATTTGCCGCTGCACAAAAAACGCCGTAAGCTCGCGAAGCTGGCACCGAGCTTATACACCAGAGAGAAAAAGAGGCGTCTCTGGAGCCACCGTCAGGATGGCTCTGGAGCATTAAAGCCCGGCGCTCGGCGACCATGCTGAAATTCTTGGCGCGTGCTGGCAACTGTACTGCAGCGTACCGGTTTCAAAGCACTTATTGATATATTATGTTTCAGCGACAAAAAAGTATTTTAACCCCTTTTTTGCGCGCGGAACTACATGCACGTACACTGTGCAAAATTTTCATTCTATTATCTTCGTATGAATAGCAAGTGAATAAATCTTGGTCGAACATACACGCGCTTATATGAGCTTTACGCGAGAGCGTAAAATTTAGAAAATGCGAAAGTTTTATCAATTGTACGGTTCAGTAATTTAAAGGAAAAAGGTAAAAAAAACTTAACCGATAGCGCGCGCGCAATCAGGACATTTCAACGCTTAAACTTTTCCTACGTGTTTACGACTTTATATTCGAAATAAGCGCGCGGCATTTCAAGCAGAGGCGCGCGCGGGGGTTGTTAC